ATGCTTCACCTTCTATTCAAAAAGATTTGGGAGGATGAACAAGTGCCGATGGACTGGAAAGAAGGACAACTCGTCAAGATTCCAAAGAAAGGAGATCTGAGCAAATGTGAAAACTAGAGAAGCATCACACAACTGTCAGTACCAGAAAAAGTCTTTAACAGAGTTTTGCTGAATCGGATGAAAGATGCAGTAGACGCCCAACTTCGAGATCAACAAGCTGGATTCCGTAAGGATCGGTCGTGTACAGACCAAATTGCGACACTACGGATCATCGTCGAACAACCAATTGAGTGGGACTCGTCACTGTACATCAACTTCATTGATTATGAAAAGGCATTTGACAGTGTAGATAGGAGAACGTTATGGAAACTCCTTCAACACTATAGAGTTCTTGAGAAGATTGTCAATATTATCCGGAACTCATATTACGGACTACAGTGCAAGGTCGTGCATGGAAGAGAGCTGACAGATGCATTCCAAGTAAGGACTGGAGTCAGACAAGGCTGTCTACTCTCCCCCTTCCTCTTTCTTCTGGTGGTTGACTGGATTATGAAGACCTCGAAATCTGAGGGAAAACATGGAATACAGTGGATAGCTCAAAACTAATTAGACGATTTGGACTTCGCAAATGACCTAGCTCTGCTATCCCATACACTCGAACAAATACAGATGAAGACAACTCGTGTAGTAACAGCCTCTGAATCAGTAGGCCTCAACATACACAAAGGAAAGACCAAGATTCTCAAATATAACACCGAGAACACTAACCCAATCACACTTGAGGGCGAAACTCTGGAAGATATAGAATCCTTCGCTTACCTATGAAGCATCATCGATGGACAAGGAAGATCAGATGCAGACGTAAAGGTGAGGATTGGCAAAGCAAGGGCAGCATTCTTACAATTGAAGAACACATGGAACTCAAAACAACTCTCAACTAATATCAAAAGTCACAATCTACAATATGAACGTAAAGACAAGTAGTTCTACTGTATGGAGCTGAAACTTGGACAACTACCACAACCATCATCAAAACAGTACAAGTATTTATAAATAGTTGTCTACGAAAGATACTCAACATCCATTGACCGGATACCATCAGCAACAGCCTTCTGAAAAAGAGAACAAAACAGCTTCCAGGTGAAGAGGAAATTAGGAAAAGACGATGGGAATGGATAGGACATATGTTACACAAATCATCAAACTGCATCATGAGGCAAGCCTTAACTTGGTATCCTGAAGGGAAGCAGAGAAGAGGAAGGCTAAAGAACAAATTACATCGGGAAATAGAAGCAGATATGAAAAGGATGACTAACAACTGTAAAGAGCTGGAAAGGATTGCCCATGACAGGGTTGGATGGTGTGTGCTGGTGTATGGCCTATGCTCCTCTACGAGGATTAACAGGCGTACGTAAGTATAAGTCAAATGAAAGTTTATAATGAGAGGAATATAGATATACGTAATCTAGTTACTGAACAGTTATACAATATATATATAATATTAGTTCATTAATAGTCCTCAGAAGTTACCCGTAATCTAATCTTCACGAGGATACAACAGACATTATGTCGTTGATTGACCATCACCTGATTTCTTTGCACCTATGATTACTCCGGCCAGCATTGTATTTTGGGAGAAAAACTTGTAACGCATATTAAAATTAAAAAAAACAACTAATTATGTATGAAATTAAAACTCAGTAATACAGTTAGCGTCTCCTTCCACATCTGACACGATGTGAGTCACTTGGAAATCAACATTTAAACTGTTGGACAACTAGACAGTAATGTGCCGACTCTGGATTTTAAATTATACTGTTATATCGTTGGAATAATTGTATTGAAGAATTGATTCGAACTTTGAGTCAATTAGCACAGATCATTCGTTTATTCATTTCGACTATAATTTTAGAATGGTTACGAATGAATCTATAGAGTCCTATTTGTGCTAAATCACAATTTATCTTAATCAACAGGAAGATAGTGTCCACTGAAATGCCTGTTAGGGGCGGCCAATCCAAAACGTGGCATCAGTTTTTGAAGTCACTAACATCTAGTTTGAGCCATGTTGGGAGATGCAGACTACTTGGTTGAGGTCCGCGTGACTATCGTAACCAATGGTTGCAGACTCTTGGCTCAGAATCGATCACAATGGCGTCGGTGTATACACTGTCTGTCTTCCCTTGAACTAACAGATTAAAATCGTTTCATATCTTTCTTTCTACCAACTAATTCCTTTTTTTATATATTACCACCTCTGAACTAACTACTTTTATGAATCCGGTGTCCATCTTATTGTGTTAATGAGGTATAGCAACTTGGACCGATGCATATATGTGCCTGGTCCTACGTTGTAGATGACTGACTGAAATGCCCGCAGTTCAACAAGATATAAAGTCTTACTGGTGGAATGTTTTGTGTTGTAGATACTCAGAAAATTCCTCGAAAACAGTTCAAAGGAGCCTTGAATTCGCTGGGAAACATTGTATCCAATCAACATTGAATAGAAAGTGAAAACTCACATGTCACATTTTTGATTGCCTATTCTGCTACTACTTTTAGTAGTGTTCCAGGACTTTCCAGAAGCCCAGGGCCATCTGAAATGCCATACATACCCTAGATTTTCTGAACATAAACTAACATTGGAGTAAAGAGTTCTTTTTATATTTCGCGCTTTTTCTCTCGTGTTCAAGTTGTCGTGTTGAGTTAGTCAGAGGTTATTAGAAGAGCCTATCAGAAGATTTATCAGTTGTTAGTGTACAACCAATTGGAATGTCTCAGCCAAATCTATTTATAAGTTCGAAAATTAAAAATAAACTATGAACCTTTATTGAAATAAAATAAAGCAAAACAATTCATTGATTCTTTCAATCCATAAACAACAAAGTATACGATCAAACAGGTATTTGAGAATAATAAAATAAACATTACAATAAACAAAAGTAACCGATTTTCAATATGAAGTTGTGAAGGTTGTTAACTTCCATTGAAATTATAAACCGATCTAACTTAAACCATCATTGGATTCAAATCCTATATGTGAAATTATAGATGTGCACCGTTGAAGAGTCTCGATTTTGGGACGAAATAGTCTTCCAGTACTTCCAGGTTTTTAATGGTGTTTTAACTTAGATCAATTCATGATATAAATGCAAAAGTAGGCAAATTATTTAGATAATAAATGTGACAATAATTAAGAATATATCAATTATTATTAGTAGTAGTAGTAGCAGGGAGTACGATAATTGAACAGGGTTGATCATGTACACAATATCCCGTCTGGTGAGACTGCTTCCTTTAGGAGCATGAGAACTATATATATAATGACTTAAGAGAATTAGATTCATTGTATCCTGTAAAAAGTAGGCAAACAGAAAGACCACGGTAAACAAATGAAAAGAAAGTATGATTTTGTATAACTAACATTTACACATGAACAAAACAATGAGAATTCTTGATAATTTTGTGATTTATTTCATGAAGTGACTTTAGCTAATTAATCATTAAAAGTGAAATGATTCTGCTTCATTTACATATGAAACTTCCCAACAAGATGTATATACACCTATAATCATTGTTAGTATGGAAGATATATGAAGAACGGCTGTACAGACGCTGATAGAATGCGGAGTCTTTTGGTAGCACTGAGTAACAATCCCAGAATGTTTGAAATGCGCTTCTCTGCCTCTAAATGCGAGTTGTTGCTCCCGAACTGGCCTGCATCAACACCTGAACTAAGGATAGGGAGTGAAGTAGTCGATCTCGTTGACAACTTCACTTATCTTGGTAGTCTGATCAGCCCTAATGGGTTGGTGTCTGACGAAATCTCAACACGGATTCGAAAAGCTCGTTTGGCTTTTGCCAACTTGTCTCACCTATGGCGAAGGCGAGATATCCGTCTATCAATAAAAGGACGAGTATACTGCGCGGCAGTCCGTTCTGTTTTACTTTACGGCAGCGAAACGTGGCCATTAAGGGTAGAAGATACTGGAAAGCTACTAGTATTTGACCACAGATACCTTAGAAATATTGCTCGCATCTGCTGGTATCATCGGGTAAGTAATAGTGAGGTTAGACTCAGGGTATTAGGGAATGATGGTAAATCAGTTGATGCGGTTGTAAATCTTCATCGACTGAGATGGTTGGGCCACGTATTACGTATGTCTGAACACCGATTACCACAACGCGCAATGCTAACTAGTGTTGGGGATGGTTGGAAGAAAGTTAGGGGTGGCCAAACCAAAATGTGGCATCAGTGCTTGAAGACACTAACTTGTAATCTGAGCCATGTTGGTAGATGCAGAATACTTGGTTGGGGTCCGCGAGACTATGATAGCCAATGGTTAGAGGTTCTTGGTGACATGGCTCAGAATCGATCACAATCGCGCATGTGGATACACTCTCTATCTTCCCTTAAACTAAGAGATTAAAATCACTTCATATCTTTTTTTCTACGAACTAATTCTTTCTTCCTGTACTATATCCTTATTGCAATCTTTCTTTTATATATTACCACCTCTGAATTAGCTACTTTTATGAATCCGGTGTCCATCTTGTTGTGTTAAAGACGTATGGCAACTTGAACCGATGCATAAATGTGTCGGGTCCTACGTTGTAGCTGACTGACTGACTGACAGACTGATTTGAAAATCTTGGATTTAATCACCGGTGGGGTAATAGCATGAGCACTGTTAACGTATTATGTAATAGAATAAAACAATTGTCCAATGTTGCTTGGTTGTCAATAAATGTCTAGCTGAATTCAGTTCATGTTGTAAACTGTGAAATGGTTAATAATTTCTATAAATCCCTTAGACATAAGTTTAATTGTTTTAAACCGACAACTGTATCTTTGTGTCAATGTGGTATGGCAACTCGAACTGATGTACGTGTGTACCAAGTTCTACGTTGTTACTGACTGACTATAAAATATGTAATAAAACAGTGAATAATGACCACAAATAACATTGTATTATGATAAAGAATAATCGAATTGAAACTTACTTATATTGTGAATCAATAGGCCAATTTGGAGGTTTACGATTCATAATAGTTTGTAAGAACCAATCAGTAGATACTGTAATTAATGAAGATAAAGCGCGTAAAATTGGAGTGGTTTGTTTGCATTCTTTTGAATTTCTTGAAAGTCGGGAATTTTTACAAGATGATTTTGAATTCAACAATAACATAGAATTATATTCTTCTTTGGTTGTGATAATAACTGATTTGATAGGCTAGTTATTTGCAACAGTAAGAAAGAGAAAAAGAGATTACCATGGGAAAAGAAAGTCAGATCATAACGAGAAATTGAAATCTAAAAGAATTTTCTTATTATGACTGTGGAATGAATCTTTGTATAATAGCTGTCAATTACACATTATGTCTTCCTGAGGTTCATAGGTTCTCTTGCTGATACTCACATCATACTAATACAAAATCGGTTGACAAAAACAAACATAAAAAGTAATCATTTCATGCACACGATAGGTTACCTTTATGAAAGGTTTTTTTCTTAACCAGATCATTGAATTCCAAATCGGTAGTTCAATAATTAGATAATAATATCGAAATGGGATTTGTGGAGTTTTTTTAGAAATTTCACTTGTTGAAATCATGAGTCAATTGAAGCTAGACCACCATGGAAAACCTGGAAGCACTGGATGGCCGTTTCATACTAGCATGGGAATCCTCAGCAGTGCACATCCGCGAATCTCGAGGGGTGTGGGGTCGTGGACGAAACGGCCGTCCAGTGCTTCCAGGTTTTCCATGGTGGTCTAGCTTCAATCGACTCATGATTTTAACAAGTGAAATTTCTAAAAATCTCCACAAAACCCATTCTGATAATAATAATCACCTGCTCACTAGTGACTGACTTCAGGAGACACTCCTGGAGTTCGAGTGAGAAGTCGTTACCCGTCGAGGTAAACCAGGTCTGTTGTGAGATATCAGCCCACTGGAGACAATGGTGTATGCTGGAGCAACTTCGTGGATTGGTTGAAGTTGGACGTTAACACCGTTGAATGCCGGCCAGCTCAGTGGTCTAGTTGGTTAAGCGCCTGGCGCGAGACTGATAGGTCCTGGATTCGAATCCCGCGGGGTGCGGGATCGTGGATGCACACTGCTGAGTCCCATACTAGGACGAAACGGCCATCCAGTGCTTCCAGGTTTTCCATGGTGGTCTAGCTTTAATTGACTCATGATTTCAACCAGTGAAATTAGATGATAATCATGAAACTATAATGTTCTATTCTGTTATAACGCTCGGTTTTACTTTGTCTAATGTTATAACGGTTGAGTTTCCAACGTTTACACGTATGGGACGTTAATTTACCTTAAACGATTATCTACACTAGATTCCCTCCCAGTGTCTATTCTACAGGACTTCAACACAACTCAGATGATCAAGAACACGTGATTAACCTGACCACAACGTAAATATATTTCCACACTAAAAACCCGACACAATCCAACAACAATGAACAATCAATAATAAGTGAGTGTCATCATATTAATAAGGATAAGGGATTACATAACTCATCCGACACCTGTCAGACTATCTACATATCTGACTAAGCAGACAACCAATCATTATCATTCTCGCCCACATATCATATTCAATTTCTTAATACATATAATGATGGAGAATCCTAGTGAGCGAACTATGCTCCTCCTCGAGGGATAATAGGAGTACGTAGGTAAGTAATATGACATCATAAGTAGGAACTGTTGAATTTAGACAATACAGTTGTGTTTAATGGTTATTGTATTGGAATGATAAAATCTTCATACGAATTGATTACATAATATAACTTAGGTTTTTATCAAATTTTATCGATTAAGTCTTCATTTCATCAGTGTATAGGTATAGGTATAAGTGACTGAAAATCATATATTTCGAAATTGATCGTATAAAAACAATTAGAAGTCAGTGATAAGCAACATAGAAAATGCCATATATGTGTGTATTAGTTGATTAGATAAAAATTGTCAAGACAAAACCCAGATTAATAGAAGTAGTAACTGTATAGTTAATATTAAAAAGGAGATAAAGAGTAAATGTGTCTATGCCAATGAAACCGATTTTAAGTCATGTGAACTAATTTCATCAACCATTCGGTTACGATAATCTGAGACACTAACCTAGTAATCTGAACTGACCAATATAGAACTGATATGTCTTGCGGACTGAACGCTATGTTAGTCTCCTAAGCTATTCTGTAGCCCCCAAGCTAGAACTATACAGCGACCTGAATACGAGAGAGCAAGAAGATGCAAAGTATGCGAGTAGTTTACTCCAAGGTTCATTTTAATACAGAAAATACAGGATTTTTATAATATTCTAAATGTCCTTAGGTTGCCAGAACATTCTGGAATGCTACTAAACATAGTAGCAGTGTAGCAGCCAGCCAATCAGAGCCTCTGCATGTGACGTTTCGTTTCCTTGATATCTTTGACCAAGACTCCACGTGAACGCTGATTAGATGAAACGCTTCCTAGTGTTTCCTGATGCTTGCTTGTCTTTTGCACGCAATTTTCTAGATCACCCCAACAAGAACAGATTAAAATTCAATGACTTCATAACTGATCCAATCTTTTAGTTAGAGTGTCTCTAGTTTCCTTCCAAGCTGTTACTAGACCAGACAATATCCCTCGTCTGGATAAGCGGTGTTTGGATATATGTAACACTTGCCCTAATCACTTCATATTTACTGTGAACCTTGTGTTCAACTTCAGAATTGATAACTTAATGAATAAAATATTCATGAGCAACGCTTCAAAGGAGTCTTGATCAAGTTACTAACAGGCTAAAAGTATTCTCTATTTTTCTTTGAAGATCTCATTTCACAGTTCTAAGTTAAAACAGAACGAACTGTTATGCAATATACTGAGCAATAACGAAAATACTAACAAAAAAATGAAGAAAAATAATAAGAATCTTACTATATCATCCAAATTTTTCATAGCATTACATAAATCTTCATCAGACATCCAATAACCACCAGCAAACTGTGTAAGTTTTTGTAAATCCATAGAAGATGGTAAAACATTTGGAGTTGAACAAAAAGACCAACCACATAAGAATTCATTTGTTTCTTCAAATTGGTTTTTTTGTTCATTTCTAGATAATTTCATCACAAATGAGGAATGACATCGTGTAGACTGTTCACTTGAAACTGTAGTATGCATAGACTGTGTATTATAATAATGTAATTTAAAATTAAGTGGATCTGAGCATAGAATTTTATTGAAGGAATTCCATGTTGAAATTACATAAAGAAATATAAAGAAATCATAAAGAGATCTTGAAACAGAACAATGAATAAACTAGAAACAAAAGCAAATGTTAACAAGTTAGTTGAAATTATTGTACGTAAGGAATAGTACAAGTGGATTGGATTAGTTGCCTAACTTCGACAACTGGTGAAATAATCCTGTTTTGATTCATTCTTAGGTTAACTATAAATATTACTTACTTACGCCTGTTACTCCCAATGGAGCATAGGCCGCTGACCAGCATTCTCCAATCCACTCTGTCCTGGGCCTTCTTTCCTAGTTCCATCCAATTCTTGTTCATTTTTCTCATGTCTATCTCTATTTCTCGGCGTAACGTGTTTTTGGTCTTCCTCCTTTCCTTTGACCTTGGGGATTCCATTTGAGGGCTTGTCTCGTGACGCAGTTGGGTGCTTTCCTCAATGTGTGTCCTATCCACTTCCAGCGTTTCTTCCTGATTTCTTCCTCCGCTGGGATCTCGTTTGTTCTCTCCCACAGTACGTTGTTGCTAATAGTGTCCGGCCAATGGATCTGAAGTATTTTGCGTAGACAACTGTTAATAAACACCTGTATCTTCTAGATGATGGCTTTCGTAGTTCTCCAGGTTTCCGCTCCATACAGTAGAACTGTCTTGACATTTGTATTGAAAATCCTGACCTTGGTGTTGGTTGACAGTTGCTTTGAGTTCCAGATGTTCTTCAGCTGTAAATATGCTGCTCTTGCTTTACCGATCCACGCTTTCACATCTGCCTCAGACCCATCATGTTCATCAATGATGCTGCCCAAAAATGTAAAGGTTTTTACATCTTCCAAATCTTCTCCGTCAATTGTGGTTCGATTGGTGCATGCAGTGTTGTATCGGAGAATCTTGCTTTTCCCTTTGTGTATATTGAGACCTACTGCTCCTGAGGTTGCTGCTACACTGGTCGTTTTCTCCTGCATTTTTTGTTGCGATTGCGATAGGAGGACCAGATCATCTGAGAAGTCTAGATCGTCCAGCTGCATCCTAGATGTCCACTGTATTCCCGTAGAAAACTAACTCGCTAAAAAACGCTAACCAGAAACTATAAATATACATATTGATTATAAATACTTTATTTAGGCTTTCTAATAATGCAGACTCCTATGTCATTTGAATATAATACCGATAGACGATTTTGCTGGAGTCAAGTATTAAGAAAGTAAATAGCAGCTGAATAGAACCGTAGACCATAGAAACGATATTACTTATATATGATGAGATTAGTGAATAAGCATTGTTAGATTGTCAACTATTGAAGTTTATAACGAATGTATATAAGAGATAAAGCTGTACGTTTACTAGGAACGCTGTCAAACATACAGTGAAGAAATCGAAATAGTATGCATGTAATTTTAAGATAAGATAGTAGATTATTCTTCTGAACCAAGTGAATAACACGTATACTGTCGTAACACAACTGTAAATGTTACTCTGATGTGACAGTTGAGTTTGTCTATCTTAATGAATGTGCCAAGTTAAATTGACTTGAACACTCGTCTATTGAGGTTCTATTATCACGCACATGTCTGTTAGACAGTATTGAGATCAAAAAAAGTAATTCTAAGATTTGACAGAAGTCACATTGTCCATAGTACAGGAATGTGATGGTAGTAAAAATTCTTTCAAACAACAACAATCTCCAAAAATGCTGGGTTTTCTTGTTAAAAAAAGGGGGAACTGGAAAAGGTCGATCATGAAGATAGCAAACCTTACTTTACTCCATGAAGTTTAGTTTTGTCGATGAGCACGTAGATAATGCATTAAAAAGCGCTCATAGAAATGTTATGTATGATAGGCTCCCAGCAATCGTATTTTGGGCTCTGTAGTGACGATCTGAGGCCGCCAAGATCACTCTTAACTTAGTCTCCTATTCTGATACCTCCAGAAGAAGTATTGTTTTACGAAGTTTTGGCAATCGAAAAGTGACAACTACTAAAATAACCTTCAAAGCGCCTGAGCTAACTATATTCATGATCAGTAGCACCGTAGAACTGAGTTTAATAATAAATATAGAATCATTCTATTTTGTGTTATCAGTGGGGTTGTTGATTGGTTTGTAAATCAGACACGACGATATTCTAACAAAATTTTAAACAGATTAAATCAGTAACGTAATCTTTATGTATAACTATTAATACTGAAATATATGCAAATTCAGTCAATGAATTCTGAATGTGATGAAAATGCCAGTCTTGAGTGCTGTTGAAAGCATGAGGGAGGTTAACATTCTTTGGTTTCCCACACCGTGGAAGCGTTTTTCTGGAGGTACCTGAAAAGGAAACTGAAGTAGAGGTGGTCTTAATAACCTGACAGCGTGACTGCAGTGCCTAAGGGACAACTGCTTGAGGTCGGTCACACATGACCTTTTAGTGGGTAATTTTCGTGTTAGCTCCGTACTTGTCGAGAAATTGCCGTCGGAGACAGATATCCGTGGGATAAGGTGAGGTGTGCATTTTTAGGGTCGACCTTTTCTATCCCCACCCCTCCTTGTGGGATGGCAGTATCGCTGTCATGCTGGTTGTCTGAAGGAACCACCCCTTACTGCTGTCACACTTCTGTACAGTTAGCAGTAGGACTTCGCCTTCGGACCTTGGATTTGCTGCTTTTAGTCTTATCACTCTTCAGTCGACCTGTCTGGTATGGTAGGACTTTGAGGGACGATTGTTCCAGCCAGTATAGCTCGATTGGTTAATCACGATAGGCAAGCCCCATCACCACGTCAAGGTAGCAACAATGGTCGGGATGAAAATGCACATCCAGAATTTTACAATGTTAGCTACTTTTTAAAATTAAACTAGGAAATAACAAACCTAGGCATAAACATGAAGAAAAAAATGAATTATTATTTACCTGGATTTGAACCTTTACGAGATTGTTTACATGCTTTTAACCATTCCACTGAAATAATTGGTATACCCCGTGCTCTAGCATATAATACTTTTAAGGTACGTTTAATTTGATCAGTAATTAAATAGTCAGCAAGTGTAGGATCTTCTGTTTCAAATGCATTCAGTTTTTTTAGAATGTTTGAATAACTTGAAGATTCAACACCACTGAATACTAATTGAATGGAATTAGTCTGTGGAGAATAGAATATAAAACTATTATTATTATTATTATTATTATTATTATTATTATTATTAACAAAATGTTTCCTTTTCACGAGAGTTAAGAACCAATCAGTGTTTGAAGTGATGATCGATTATTAAAGAATAAGAGTGAGACCATAATTTATGGACGACCTTTGAGCGACGCTTAAGTGATCCTGAGAATGTTAATTGTTCATCCTATTCATTACATGTCTTGATTATTTTTATCTGACTATAAATATTGAGTCGTGCTTGATTAAATGGAATTGGCTAACTCGTCTTTACCGCTGCGTGTCACTTCGTTCCTCTGATTGTCTGTTTGGATCAGTAGCTGTGCAAAATATACTTATTCAAAACTCATTCTCGTATTCAACTTATTTTATTGCATTATTCCGTAATGCAAATTAAGTCGATAAAAATATATGAGGATTGGTAGCATGCATATTTCGACAAAAATTAGGATATGATTTAATCGGAATCAGACACAGGGCCACGAATACCTAACTTGCGGTGCTGACGTAATGTACAACAAATCGTACAGATACACATTTATATCAGATAATACATTGACGATAAGTGACAGACTAAAAACTGGTTAAGAAGAATGGCATAAATGACAGGTTAGACGCAGGGTATTAGGGAATGATGGTAAATCAGTTGATGAGGTTGTGAATCTTCATCGACTGAGATGGTTGGGCCACGTATTACGTATGTCTGAACACCGATTACCAAGACGCGCAATGCTAACTAGTGTTGGGGATGGTTGGAAGAAAGTTAGGGGTGGCCAAACCAAAATGTGGCATCAGTCCATACAGTTACTAACTTCTGGTATGAGCCATGTTGGTAGATGAAAACTACATGGTTGGGGTCCGTGTGACTATTGTAACCAATGGTTGGAGACTCTTGGTGACATGGTTCAGAATCGATCACAATGGCATCAGTGTATACACTCCCTGTCTTCCCTTAAACTAAGAGATTAGAATCACTTCATATCTTTCTTTCTACGAACCAATTCTTTCTTCTTGTACTATATCTCTATATGCAAACTTTCTCTTATATATTACCACCTCTGACCTAACCACTGCTATGAATCCGGTGCTCATCTTGTTGTGTTGATGCGGTATGGCAACCTGGACCGATGCACATACGTGCCTTGTCCCACGTTGTAGCTAACTGACTGACTGACAATGAAATCTTAAGTTTTTTTATGACCGAATGCATGATTAAACGATAGGAAAATACATCATGTTTACAAGTTCCTATTAATCAGATGAGTTGAATAGTACCAATTACATTACACTATATCCCATTAAAATATCAGTTATTAATCAAAACGAAAACTCATTAATTTCGAAGAATTTCCTTATGTACTGAGATGGTATCTCGTAATATTTCAGTCAATGAAAATAACTACTTAAGTGAGAACAAGTAGCATATTTTATATTGCAAGCAAAACTTACAGTGTTGGTTCTAGATGATCCAGTAGATGTTGAGGAAGTATTATTGAAATCAGTGTTCAATATTTTAAGAATTTCTTCTTTCGGTTCATTTGTACATGTTGTCATCCGTCTTTTTCGTTGATTTTTTGCAGTATTTTCTGGTTTTAAATTGATTAAAGCGCTACTCCTAGTCCTTCTACTACTACACTTATCTTCTGGAATACTCACAATAGGTGGTATATGATGCTGCAACGTTGAAGCAACAGCAAGGGGAGGTTTATTACAACTTTTATCAGACTGTAAAATAAGTCGTGTAGATCGTCGAATAGGCATTTCAAGAGAGTTATTATTCACTTCAAATTTTGACTTCCTCGAATTCTGTTTAATTGTTTTATCTGTAGGCAATGATAGATTATTTTCTTTGGGTATAGATGATAATGTTTTCCTAGTTCTACCTACCTTATTATTATTATTATTAGAATTTTTGTGTACTAGACAATCCTTACTATCATTATTAGCACTATTATTGGTAGCTGAACTAGTAGTAAGCGATGTGAATGCTCTTTTTCTAGTTGTACATGAATTTCTCATGTTTCTTTTAGGTTTCATTAAAACAGGTGATGATGTATACTCATCAGACAACGATGTTATTGGTAAAGTAGAAGTAGGAAATAATGGACTAAACTGTTGTTGTTCATTATTGCTTTTTGCTTCGATACAAATTTTAGCATTAAATGAATTAGGTGTAAGATCAGAAAATGATGGTAGAGATAGGCGTTCACTAATATTTAATGTATTCTTCACTAAAGGATCCTAAATTTGAAGGGGAAAAATAAATGGTAAATTTTGAAAGAGACAATAACAGTGATTATATTCTCATCAAACGACGATAGGAAAATATAAAAATATAGACCTTTATAATAGAAAGTTTACGTATTCGGTTTTGAAGTATACCTTTTTCATGCATAAAAGTTGATGATACTATCCGTTGGAAAAAAAATAAGACAAGGAATTATAATTTACTAAGCCATCAAAATGGTTGAACGATTCTGTGGTTAGGAAAGAATTAAGTTAATCTCTAAATATGTAACAAAATGGAAACAATTTGCTGAGGCTAGTCATATTTGTGTGTAGGTTATTGATAATGTTCAGACCCTTAGACCGAAGCAATTGGTTTCTATTTAGGAGAACCACTTCCTGAGCTTTCGACAGAAGGAGTTTATGCTACAAGATAGTCGAGCAACTTAAAGAAATGCAATCTTAAGGTACCAGGTGATCAAACTAGGTTAATATGCCATTCGTCCAGTCATGATCTTAGATTTCAAGTATAATATTGGTTTAGAATAAAGTAAATACAGAGTGGGAAAGCAGGAGGATCTGACAATATACCAGACATAGAAGCAACTGAAAACATGCTCCACGTTCTATTCAGGAAGGAAGATTCGAGAGTGAGAACGAAAGCCGATCTACTGGAAGTAGATAGAACATACATTGAGGAAGTCATCAAGCTACATCACGAGGCCCTAACTTGAAATCCTGAAGGGAAACGAAAAAGAGGAAGGTCGAAGAAAACGCTGCTTTGAGAATTGGAAGCAGACAAGAAAAGGATGGATAGTAACTGGAAAGAGTTGGAAAAAAATTGCCCAGGACAAAGTTGGATGGATAATGCTGGTGAGCGGCCTATGCTCCTCTGTGAGGGGTAATAGGCGTAAGGAAGTAATTACAGAGAGGTAAAAGACATAGTTTATATTGTAACTTACATTCTCTGGTGATTCATCAAAACCAGCTAATTTGACAGCAGATTCTAAAATACATGATTTATTTTTATGGATATTGTTGTTGATAGTTTTGATTGATGAATTATTTGTTTTCGATGGAGAAATATTTGATTCATTTTTCATTTGTTCTAATTTTTCATCAAATAATTGAGAAGGTTCTTCGCTTAAAATACTTCCTGATAAATGTAATGGACTAGGAATATGTGGTGCACGAGGTCGATTATAACTTGATTGATTAGTAACTTTTTTAGTATTACAATTGACATTATTATCATGATGTATAAGAGACCATGAACACTTCCAATCTTGTAGTTCCGAATCTGAATTAGGACTATCTAAATGAATTGATGAAATAACTGATGTGAACTTTTGTTTATTTTTTCGACTACGAAACTTTACAGTACCTAAAGAACCTGGTAAAGTACAATTGGTAACACGTTCAGAAGGTCGATTTCGGATTGATCTAGTGGAACGAAATAATGAACATTGTTCAATGTAACGACGAAGTTTACAATCATTATCATCCGGTGTTAATTGAGATCGCTGGGTTGAAAACGGAAGAAAATTTAAATTGTTAGCATTCATAATCTTTGTTTAAAAAAATCAATATACTAAGCGAAACCAGTTAAATTGGATCCTGGTTTAGCGGTTTATTATCATTATTATTAGCTTTATTCAATATTATCTTTTGGGTACAGTATAGAGTTCTGAGTACAAGGTATTTCAGCGAGATTCCGTTACCTATTTCTTGATCGATATTGACGATAAATATTGAATGATTGCCAGTTAGATATGAGCGTTTCAGAAGTCGACATCTGAATAATATTCATTCTTTTCAATGCATATTGCCAGCCATCACGATGTCTCCGATTTTAAACTTTTGTAACTTGTACAGCGAAGGGTCGTAAAATTTTCACAAACGCAACCGAACAGGTTAGGGTTTGCATGTGAAACCGAGAGTCCTTGGTTCGACTCCAGCGTGCAGGGTTGTGGATGTGCACTGACGACGAAATGACCATCTAGTGGTTCCAGGTACTCAATAATTGTCTATCTTAATCAGTTCGTGATTTCAATGAATTTCAACAATCTCCACAACTTCAAGCTGACAATTAAATAAATGTTAATATATTTCACTAAACGATTAGCAGAATATCGACCAACTCTCTGTTATTCAGTATTCATTACAAACACTCTAATAATCATTAATATTTATTTAAGACTAATTGTAGATTGTTCTATTCGAATGCATAATATATGTGATAAAATAAGTACAATAAAAGATTATAACGCATCCCAATTTATCAATCTCAATATGTTTTACAATATATAATAATTCACTGATCAATTGTATTCTAAAGATTAACAATGGTAAAATCTAAACATTTACATATCAATGAATTAGGTTAGATCCAGTCAGTCAGTTAGTAACAACGAAGAACTTCGTACCATAGTAATCAACACAATCGCATTTTTGGAAACCGAATGTAGGTGGTACCTTGATGTGACGGTGGAAGAGACCTTATCGACCTATTTTGTCTGGATTACGTTTTTCCATATCATAGAACATCAAGTAGGTCGACTGGTGAGTGGTAAGATGAAAAGCAGAAAAATTAAGATCCCAAGGAAAAGTTGCAGTGATTACTGTAGTGGAATGTAACAGCAATAACAGATTTCCCTCAGACAATCAGGATCTCTAGAGATCCTAGAGAAATACAACGCTACGAACAACAAACAATTTAACATATGAACTTCAGTCGCCGGATGTAAATCTCAAGATTATGGAACTAATACATCGAGAACTAGCAAAAAAGGCCATATGCGACCCATCTTAAACAGATGTCTAGTGGGATTCGAAGTCATGGTCACATATCATTATTAACAGCTTTATTTTCAGGTTTATCAAGAAGAAATATCCTTTCATGAAGTGAGTGATAGCTGCCTTCCCCACCCTTCTATTAACATTTAAGATCCGGTTCAATATTGGTTTGAAGGCATGGATATAGTGATTTTCTCCAATAGAAAAACAACGAAATATTTGTAATCAAACCACTGTCTAACACAGACAATGCAACATCTTACCTATAATCATTTGTTTTAATTATACATTTTATTGATCACATAATTAAACCTCACTATCGTAATTTTATTGTTAACAAAATAAAGCGATATGAAATAAAAAGAGTATAAAAACTAACCTCACTAGTAACATCATACTTAGATGAAGGTATTGACTGGGGTATATCAGTTTTGGCCAGTTCTGAGACAGCCAATCGTTGTTGTTCAGTGTGTAAAGGATTTTCAACAGATTGCTCCATACTTAGCTGATTTTTAGGCTTCGAATTACACCGTTTTTGTTTTGTGATAGTATTTGTTTTATAATCTGTACCCCGTATATTACATTTTGATGAAGTAAAACGACTGGATTTAGTGTTTTTCTTCCTAATATTATTATTAATAAAATTGTTATATTGAACTTTTTCAGACAAAATCTCAGTATGAATTATATCCGATCCCCATTCTTGAGATAAAACGATATCAGCCTTCTTCTCTGAAGAATTATGCTTTATTGTAAAAGATAATGAACATGATTAGCGAGAACCATACCACATATATACCAATTGAACTCATTAGATTTTTTTAAGAAAACCATATATGTTACTACCATATATTAAATAAGTAGTTTCAGATATTCTTGTGAATTAATCATGATTATTAGTTCAATCGAGGTCATTAAAAGATTATCAGGAGCACAGTTTATTTCAATTAATTTTAACTAAAGGTATTTCATTAACTAAACAACTATCATGTATAGAAAACGTTGACACATATTAATTATCAACCAGTATAACTAACAATTTGTATTATAAGTAGAGAAGGTTAGTGGCGAGCAATGGATTCAAGGAGGCGCGTTTAGTCCTACTTGGGACTCGTCAGCTGGATGGAACTACATCCTAGAGTTGGTATTTACTCCCAGTACCGTTCGCAGGTACATCCAGCTGACGAGTTACAAATAAGATGAAAATAACCTCCTGAATTTCACTACAAGCCACCATCCATCTCTGTGTATAACGCTTATGATATAAGGCAATTTCGAGGCAATTCACACAGGATGCACATATGTCAATGACGGATCAATTGAAGTCCTTAACATCAATGGGAACATTCAAAAAATCAATACAAAAACAGATTATCAATGAATACTTTTCGATTCTCAAGACTACTCAGCAGTTCAGTAATTCAGAAGGAAAGTTGAATAATCACAGTTACAATTATAAAACTAGAAATTTCCACAAGGTAGGTACGGAAAATATGAGGTGGCGTCTTAACGTCTACAGTAATTCACTTTAAAATTAATGTGCCACAGATTTGAACCTCGATCCATCCACTTTTACTTAGGTAGTAGAGTCGCTTCATTAACCGTTGTACAAAGTGTGGCTTATATAAATTAATACATAGTGAACAAGAGTTCGGACCTGCGATCTACGAGTTGAGAGTTGTGCGCTCTAACTGTTATTAATAAGATATAGTCTCAAGGTTATCTGTGGGCAGGAGTCATGAAAAAGTACCCATGTTTTGCGAGCATAGTTGACTTTACAGTACAGCCAAAATACTTCTATTCCCAGTGTAATAAGATAAATATATAAACAAGAAAATTCAAAAAATCATAATTATTATGATAAATTTCCACCAAGAAAGGTTGGCAGAAAGTGGTAAAACATTGTTGTATCTTAATCTGTGATAAGATTAAGTGATTAAACCATTTCCAAAAGACTCATTTGGCGATAACAGTGAGTAACCTGTGGATCTAACTAGGCTGGACGTGCGAATATATGATAAATAAAACAGAATGTGTAGTATCATGTTATCCCACAAACTGACTAAAAATATAAATATGGAGAATTGAATACCAACTAAGTGAATTAAAACAACAGAGCTTGTAAAAAAAACTTGAATAACGTTGCTTTATGAACAAGCAATGTTGAGATGTACCAGACAAGGATGAAACAGCTGTTTACTAATACTTTCTAAACCTTATCACTTACGTTGTTGTTTTGCTATTCAAGCTCAATATCGTACTTGTACAACCATGATTTATTTAATAGATTTGGGTTGGGTTGGCAAAAATTGGAATGATTTTTGCGGAGAAATTTTTACTTAAACTTAAATATTTATCTAGAATCATATACTCCGAAGACAGTAATCGTTTGAACAATGAATAGTTAGAAGGAAAATGCATACTAATCGAAGAGATGTAAGGAAAGACGACGAAAAAAACAACAACAACAAACAAACAACAGCTATTGGTTGAGATCTTGAACCAACTGGTGGTTTAATACCACTGGAAACTTGGAAGTACTGGACGGTCGTTTTGTCCTATTGTATGACTCCCCAGCAGTGCGCGTCCACGATCCCGCATCCCGCGAGATTCGAACCCATCTTCCATTGTAATGAGGTTGGTGGTTGCGTAATTTCGTGGATTGGTTGAGGTTAGACATTAAAACCGTTGGACGCCGGCCGGCTCAGTAGTCTAGTTGTTAGGCGTTCGCGCGCGAGACTGAAGGCTTTGGGTTTAAATCCTGCGAGCGAGGTTGTGTATGCGCACTGCTGAGGAGTCCGACAATATGACGAAACGACCGTCCAGTGCTTCCAGGTTTTCAATGGTGGTTTAACATCAATCGGTCCAAGATCTCGATTAATAACTTAATAATCTCCAAAAACCTTATACTGATAAAACAGCAGCTATGACAATAATAAAAATTATAAAACTAACTTCATTAATTTTAAAAGGTGAATCATTGTGAATATTTTGATCTTTATTAGATATACTACTGTTATTAAGAAATTGATCATCTTGATTTTGTATGCCATAATGAAAAATTTGAAGATTTTCTAAGGGCTGTAATGTTACTGTAATATTATCACAAACAATATCATGATCGTTAACAGTGATCAAGCCACAATGTTCATTCTTATTATTGATAATTGTAGTAGTAGGAGTTGTTGTTGTACACAAGTTAGTTGATTCCAACTGAAAAATATTTAAAACAATAACAAGAGAAAAAGAGAACTAGACAAACATAAAATTGGTCAATAATCAGTGATGATTAATTATTGTTAAATATCTAAATCCTATAGGAGGCCAGTTAATGTTTCAATAGCTCAGTGGGAGTATTGTGATGCGTGTTACTTATAATGATATAAGTAGTATATGACGCGAGTCAGGAATGTAATGTCTGGCAGCAGAAGATGGGGGAACATCAAGAAAGCAAGAGCGGAAATAGAATGCAATTTGTATGAAAATGCAAGGATAATGAAGTCTGAAGCATTTTGAAACAATTGGTGAACATTTTGTAAATTAACGTTTTGATATATGGTTCTCAGATTTTATTGAGATGCTCTGTAATTTTGTGTTAAATACATTTGTTTGTTCCCACCCGTGTTCTGTTCGCTAAAGTATCTCCCAGACAATAAAACTGAGTAGCATGGGTTCAATCCCACCAGAGAGTATCACTTTCTTGAAAACTGATGTTATACCTTACTAATGATTACCAAGTAGGATAAAAAAAGGAGTCAAGATTACGGAATATATATATATATATATATATATATATATATATATATATATATATATATATATATATATATATATAGGCAATTTCACAAGACATCTCAGTCAGTAAGTCAGCTACAACGTAGAACCAGGCACATATATACATCGGTCCAAGTTGTCACAACTCGTTAGCACAACAAAATGAACATCAAATTGATAGTAGTTACTTCAATAGTAGTAATATATAAAATAAAGACTGTATATAAGAATATGATACAAGGAGGAAATCAATTCGTAGAAAGAAAGGTGAAAAGCAATTTCGATCTCACGGTTCAAGGAAAGACAAAGAGTGTATACACCTACACCACTGTGATCAATTCTGAGCCATATCACCAAGAGTCTCCAACCATTGGTTACAATAGTCACACGGACCCCAACAAAGTAGTTTTCATCTACCAACATGGCTCACATCAGAAGTTAGTGACTGTATGGACTGATGCCACATTTTGGTTTGGCCACCCCTAACTTTCTTTCAACCATCCCCAACACTAGTTAGCATTGCGCGTCTTGGTAATCGGTGTTCAGGCATACGTAATACGTGGCCCAACCATCTCAGTCGATGAAGATTCACAACCTCGTCAACTGATTTACCATCATTCCCTAATACCCTGGTGTCTAATCTCACTATTACTTACCCGTTGATCCCAGCAGATGCGAGCAATATTTCTAAGGTATCTGTGGTCAAATACTAGTAGCTTTCCAGTATCTTCTACCCTTAATGGCCACGTTTCGCTGCCGTAAAGTAAAACAGAACGGACTGCCGCGCAGTATACTCGTTCTTTTATTGATAGATGGGTATCTCGCCTTTGCTATAGGTGAAGTAAGTTGGCAAAAGCCAAACGAACTTTTCGAATCCGTGTTGAGATTCCGTCAGACACCAACCCATTAGGGCTGATCAGACTACCAAGATAAGTGAAGTTGTCAACGAGATCGACTACTTCACTCCCTATCCGTAGTTCAGGTGTTGATGCAGGCCAGTTCGGGAGCAACAACTTGCATTTGGAGGGAGAGAAGCGCATTTCAAACATTCTGGCATTGTTACTCAGTGCTATCAAAACACTCTCCATTTTATCAGCGTCTTCACCAAACAGGACTATATCATCCGTGTATTGTAAGTTGATAAGTGGACCTCCTGGTAGGAGATCAATGCCCAAAAATTCACTCTCATGTATGAATAAAAATATCTACCAGATAATGTCAGTGATCCATAATGAATAAATATGCCATTGAACTGCACAAATTCCAACAACAAAAACTTATTTTAAATGAAAACATAGGGCATCTTACCTGTATATTTTCTTCTTTTTCTGGACAAATACCATTGAATATTCGTGATTTTCTTGAACCGTAATTATCATCAACTACAATTTGCAAGGAATCATTACTTATTACTGATTCATTCACATGTTGAACTGTAGATTGACGATCGGAATTTGAAGTGAACTCATTATTATTATTATTATTATTATTATTATTATTATTATTATTATTATTATTATTATTATTATTATTATTATTATTATTATTATTTAAATCAACAGATGACCCGTTCAGAATTAGTTCATTTTTTTCAGGTCCACTGGTTTCATCTATGCTAGAAAAGAAACAATAGTACGTGATAAGTAGAAACGTCCAATCTATCAGGAAAATAAGTGCTTCCTGAATAACAAAGTAATAAACGCGAGTTATATATGAAGGCAGTAAACTCGATCGATAATATAAATTTAATATAGAGGAAAGTTATGTTGAAACTTACGATCACACAGATGGAAGATTAGAGGATATGAGTTAATAGACTGGAGACTAGACCACTTGATTAGTAAACTAGATAATAATAGATCACGATACTACGCGTTAATTGAGCTCAGATACACAAAGTCCAACTAAGAATTACAATCAGACAATGGGACAGGATGATATTTCATTGATATAAATTACAATCCATCAATGGAGTGAGAGAAATGTCTGATTTGTATGTCGCCATCTCACAATAGCACTCTAACCCTTACCTTAACTTAACTGGTCTAAGTATATTTAGTACTTTGTTTACTACAAAAAATATCTCTGAATAATTCAGAATAACAAACAGAAACCAGTCTGAAAAAAATTTAAAAAATACCTTTTAGCTGCATTGCTTGTCACTAGATCACTCTCCTCAATAGTAAATACTGACTCTTCAGCAGACAAACAAGTAGACGAACGAATAGTCAATCCAAAATGATTATCCATTGATTGAACAATACAACCTGGATCAGAGTCTCGTGCAAGTAGGACGTTTGCTCGATTGTATGTTAAAGGAGTTGAAGCTGTTTCGTTTGTTAGGATCATAGGAGTAGCAGAAACAACATCACTAGATGAAAGATGATTTTTAATCGATTTAGTCAACAATTCCAATGGAGTAGCATCAATCATATAACCTTTAGATTTCCTGACAGATTCTGTGGTTGATGAATCTTTAAAAAAAAGTAAAACATAATTTGGTCTTACACTGCATTCATTATTTAAAGTATGGGCGAAAATCATAAGATATCTCTGTAATGATAAACATTATTTGAGAGATATCCTAGTTAGATAGTTAAGAAAAGTATCTCTTTTCATTAGGATGAAAGGTTTATGGAAAGTGTTCAACTTGACTAAAGTTTATATCACAACCAAACGACCATTGGAAGTCAGAGTGCACTAGATAGCTATATTTCTTCTAGCATGCGACCTCTTATCAGTGCGCATACCATTACCATACCGGCGGTAGGAAATCAAAGCCTTAAGCCTCGCATAGAAAGAAATCCTAATAGTTGTGTAGCTAAAGTCTCTCCGTGACGCGAAAAGATACTTTACATCTTGACTAATCATTTGAGGGGCATTCTGTTAGGGTCTAAGGAATGCCTTGTGGAATCTCCTCCAAAGAGAACAATATAAATGAGTTATAATGGTAGATTACTTTCAATTATTTGATATATTCAACTTTAGTTAACATAGAGTAAGAAATAGACAAGTATTTCATCAAACAGCTTCCTTACAGTAAGTTGAAGAAAGATTATTTTTTTGCTAGACAACAATTAAGAAAACAAGCAGCCTCAATAATAGAAAAGATGTGTGTCGGAGACGGTAGAAAAAAATACATGGTTTTTTTACTGCAGGAAGTAGTTCAACCACTTTTACATTTAATCATGACTGAAAAATGCCATGCTATCTGTCAACGTCACAGTTAACCTTTAACAGAGTAATAGTTAGGTTGATGATGCATTTAAACATGGTTAAAGGTTTGTTAAGTGTGGTACAACAAGCAGAAAACTATATTTCGAATTCAGTGACTTCAAGAACTTAAGAATATTCATAAACTACATATGTGTACAAAAGTGTCTCATACAAAAAATAATTTGCAATAGAAAAGTTGGAAAGACTATGTAGTAAGCTTATGACGAATTAGGTAAGTGGTGCTACCTTATAAGGCGTGATCATATGCTTAAATCATGTACAAAATAAATAAGTACGGAAATGTGTAACTAAGTCAACTAAAAATAACTTCACCAGTTGAAATCATGAGTCAATTGAAGCTAGACCACCATGGAAAACCTGGAAGCACTGGACGGCTGTTTCGTCCCATTATGGGACCCCTCAGCAATGCGCATCCATGACCCCGCCCCGCGGGGTTCGAACCCAGGACCTGTCAGTATCACGCCGGGCGCTTAACCAACTAGACCACTGAGTTGGCCAGCATCTGACGGTGTTAATGTCTAACTTCGACCAATCCACGAAATTGAGCGACGCATCCACCATAGTCATCAGTGAGTTACTATCTCACAACTATTATTATTATCTCACACAATTATTCAACTTCATATAGTAGATGTTGGTAACCATTTACCCTATGAAACTTGTTTGTATTATTTATAATTAATTATTTCAGAAGGGGGTTTTGTGGAGATTGTAGTAATCTCAATAGTTGAGATCATGAGTCATGAGCAGTGACCAGTGGGGCTCAACCGGATCTGTTGTGTGATAGTAACTCAGTGATGACAATGGTGTACAGTGGCGCTCAATTTCGTGGATTAGTCGAAGTTAGACATTAACACCGTCAGATGCTGGCCAACTCAGTGGTCTAGTTGGTTAAGCGCCCGGCGTGAGACTGACAGGTCCTGGGTTCGAACCCCGCGGGGCGGGGTCATGGATGCGCATTGCTCAGGGGTACCATGATGGGACGAAACAGCCGTCCAGTGCTTCCAGGTTTTCCATGGTGGTCTAGCTTCAATTGACTCATGATCTCAACTGTTAGAAATAACTGTTTAATCGGTGAAGGGGGACCACCATGAAATCGATGATTTTCTACAAACAAGTCAAGTGTTGTTTATTTTAATGTAAGCTTTTTTTATCACTTAATCTTTGCATGTTTTATTACAATTCGAGAAAATGTTTCATTTTATTTATCACTAAATAGAAGTTGGGTAATTTCGGCATATTTCTTAATGCATACATTCTCCATGTTTATCCTCAAATACAACACAGTGTATTGACACTTGAATGTATGCACTTAAAGTGAACCACTTCAGCTGTATAGTTTTGGCATATAGACTATATGTCATACAACAAAGTGATATAACAGAAGAAGTAATCTTAGAATCAATGAGGTTGAAGGCACATATCCATTATTCAGTGTAACAAAAACCTCATACAGTAAATTTTCTGAATTTCTACAATTGAAATCAAACGTATGAAAGGAATCCGAGCATAAAATCGTGTTATTATTTAGTTAGAAAGACATTGACTGTAAAACTGTAAAATAAAAAGTAGAAATGGTAGGTATTACAAGTTGTTCCGGAAAATCCTTTAACGTATGGGTAACCGTGTTACACATCAGAGATTTATGATTGAAGAGACAGAAGTTGGCTGCATTAAACTTTCTCTTCACTGCTCTAGTCAGTCTATAGGCTGCATGTCCATCGTACTCGACTCGATCTATGGTGATTCGCCAACTAAACTATAATTTACCTGGCTATGCCACTTCTATGTGTATTTACTAATTCAGCTGCTGGGCACACTACCAGACAACTGAACAAAAGAGTTAGTGAACACCTCCCTTTGTGGTTAAGAAAAGGTTCTGTCAAGTCAATACGCAGCTCGGTTCTATCACACTTGATCGATAGTGGCCGTGTAGTAGACAGAAATAAGTCATTTAAACTTATTTATCGTATTCCTATTAGTTTTCCTTATGGTGTTCGATCTTGTCTCTTAAACATATCAGACGCTATAGGAATTCGAGTCAACAATCCAAGTCTTTGTGTTCATAAGAAATTTGTAACACCCTTATCTTTCCCTTGGCCTTGATAAGTGATTCTATTTATTAACTTTTTTCTTCACCGCCTCCTACTATTTTATTTTTTCTCCCAAATATACGTTTCACGTTCCAATTATATGAACTCTTATTATTACGTAATGTGATTTCAGTGTCTATATTTTTTCTAATCATTGACCTATTTCCAATTATGTAACATTGGTTCAAGCCTTTATTATTCTTAAGCAGTGATGGATAATGGCTAGCAGTGGAATCAGGGACGCGCGTTTCGTCCTATTTGGGACTCGTCAGTTGGATGTACCTACATCTCAGAGTTGATGTTCACTCTGGGACTCGAACCCAGTACCATTCGCTTCAAACACCATCGCGTTATCCACTCAGCTACTGAGTCCTGATAGCCACTTGCTTGTGCAATGGAGTGAATTTGAATCCACTTGATATTGTTTGGCTTGTATCTTCCCATTGATGTTTAAGACTGCAATTGATCAGTCTGTTATTGGCATATGTGCATACTGTGAGTGGGACGAAACGCGCGTCCTGGATTCCACTGCTAGCCACTATCCATCATCGCTTACAAATAGCTTGTGAATTAAGGCAATATCGAGGCATACGCACAGTATGCAAATATGCCAATACCAGACTGATCAATCGCAGTTTTAAACTTCAATCGGAAGATACAAGCCAAACAATACCAAGTGAATTCCTTATTATTCTTATCACAACTAGCACACCTGTCACCACAGTACTAATTTGTACTTTTCACTTGTTTATGTAATCTATTCCATTGTTATCATTGACTCATAAACTGCCTTGATTGGTTTAATAATTTCGTATATGCATATAAATATTAGTGTATATTAGAGTAAAGCCTGATGATGATTTAATCGAAAACAATATTGACTGATTAAACAAGCGATCTTTCGTCTATTACTTCAATCTATTGTCATTTCTCCAGTATTGGCGATTGCCCACTAAGACTCCAACCCAGTATAACTTTTATTCCAAATGCTAGCACACATTATCTGATAATTTACTGAGCTCAGAGAGCCAGTAACCTATTCGACGGGTATGAAAGTATCAGTGAAAAGGTTTGTGACATTTTATATTGCAAATAAAATAATAAATAAATAGAATGTTATTTCCCGAGCTCCTAATTTTGGGGATTTCCCCAGGTCTGGGGAAATTTTGGAGCTTTTGTGCCATTTCCCCAAAATTGGGAGCTCGGGTTAAAACAGAAATAAACTAATTTGCTATACAACAAGTAAATAATCAAATGATAAACGACAAATTTTAGCCTACTTTGGTATGATTCACTTTCTAAATGAACATCATTTTCAGTATACATATGAAGTTTACAATTTTTAACTGATGATGAACTTTCGTGCATTTCATGTTGTAACAGATTAATATCATCTTCATTTTTTAAGAGTTCAGTTTTTTTAACATCTGAATCTGTACTGCTTGTTAAAGAAGGTGAATAACTATCAATGAAGCGATTGGGATTTGGCAATAAATCTTGTGAAACTTCACCAGTATTTACAACAATTTCAGCTAAAAGACGTTCACTAAAAACTGAACAATCACTGTCATCGTTATTATTATTATCATCATCATTATCATTCTGTTTGGTTGAAAAATTCGACTGAACAGATAATTGATTTTCTTTCTGGGAATAATGAAGCTGACAAGATGTATCCGGATTAGTTTTCTAAAAATCAACAATTCAAATAATATTAGTTCACGTTACAAACTGATATTAACCGTAGGAAGTGTGAAGTAACTACTAAAAAACTAAGGTGGAAATTGGATAACTGTTTGCAATCTAGTCTGAAATTTCTCAAAAGAACACTTCCATGAACTAACATCAAGGATCATTACCATCTAACCACTGCAAAGAATTCTTCTGAACTATGGAATAATTAATAGCAATGTATAACGATGACAAAATAACAAAAATAACTTGAGGTGGAAATAGATTATTCAAAATATGGTTGGAGTTTGTAAGGATTGAGTAAATTCTTAAGTTGTATTCGCTACAGACTGATTTCAGTTGGGGTACCATTTCGAACAAGAAGGCACTGGACACTTGTTTAGTCCCAGTATAAAACTCAATGACCCCATTAGCAATCAAGTCAAGGACCTTTAGGTTCAGAAGCGAACCCTGGTACAGCACTAGCTTCAGTCAATTTGCAACAAAGAGTGAAGATCATCGAATGCCATAAATGACAATTATTTACAAGTATACACAAGTTAGAGTGTGCATAAGACGATTCATTATGACCTGACTACCAAAACAATGTATACGTTTGATAAATTATGATAAGTCTTCTATCTGGACGCTCTAATCGGTCTCCTAAACCCTTCTAATAACCCCAGGCTAAATCTACATGACAACTTGAACGACAGAAAAGGTGAGAAGTGTGAAAAGAACGTTTTACTCCAAGGTTAGTTTATGTACAGTGTAAAATGTGATTGATAGACGAACCCACCAATAATAAGGGAAACGCCCACCACCACATCAACTCCTTTTGACCTTGTACGACTGTATCTCTTTATTAATCAATCACAGTTTAATGTTCATTGTAAAACAATATTGGCTTGTTGACTCATTTTTCCTATTCTCTAGCTACTGTTCGGTATGTTATTTGTCTCTGTTTTTCTCTGTATTAATAGACCGTACTGTTTGTTTGTACGCTAACGATGTTAATTTATGTTTTAGAAACAGATAAAGTTTATATAGCCAAATAGCTTACTTGTTCTGACTTTGGCTAAACCAAGACTCTGTACTCGACAGTCTAGAGATTAGCTTAGAGTTGAATCTATGGGAAATTGTTTCCTACATACAGACAGTCGGGGGTATTTATAGCATTTCAGATGACCTTGGGCTTCTTCAGCAACAGTAAACATAGTAGCAGGATAGGTAATCATCCAATAAAAAAGTGTGACACGTGACTCTTCACTTTCTATATATTTTTGTGAAACTTCCATTCAACACTGATTTTATAAAATTTTTCCCAGAGTTTTCTGAGCCCATCTGGACTTTTTCGAGGAATATTTTGAATCTCCTCAATAAATCATCATTACTGAATTCTAAAAAGTATGATCACTTGGCAAACTTGAACTACAGTTAAGTGCTTTTAAGGATTAATCAACAATATCAAACAAAAAAATCTTGTTTTATCCACACTTAATCAAAAACTTATTTTTTAGCCCAGTTAAAAACTCTCAAATAGTATAAAAATATCTTTATTGCCTGATACTAATAGTAATGCGATGCCTCTGTGGTTCTCATAGATATTGAGATCTTTTATCGATATCTTGACGAGGTACTTCTCTCTTCCTAGACTGTAGATTTTTATTTTTTATTTTATTTTTATTTGAACACAAATATTGGTACAAGAGGGCACCAAATATATAATGCGCCACACTTTTGTGTGCGGGCTGAGATACTGCCTGGGTGCCCAAACCGCAGCAGGTGGTTTTCTTGGGGGACCACACCTGGAGCCTTCGACCTGAAGGTCTAATCCACAGGACATTGGAGGATCGTAAGGAGATGCAGTCCCATGTTAGCCGGTGACCAATAATTGGTTCATACGCCATTTGTTCTCGCAGGATACTGGAGCCCATGTGCACCATTGATTTGGGATCCGGTTAAAGCGTCGAGCACTCAATTTCGTACACAACAGTAATGCCACAAGAAGGCAGTGAGTAGAACTTCCCTGTATACGCGTGGCCGTGTGAGAGTATTTCGAGGGGAAGGGCGAACAACCCCGCTTTCGGCCATACCAGGGCATTTGGGGGCTAGACTGTAGATACTTGTTCTCCAACCTAAGTATTTCTAAATAGAGTGAAACATTTTTGTAGTTCCCTCTATATGTGAATTCAGTGATCCTGATGTTTTGCCACTCTTGAATCGTCTTACAGTCCTGCTGATTTTTTCTGTTGTGGGATGGGTTCTCACTTATTGAGGTCTATATGGTGATCTGATGTCTGACAGGTCTAATATGTCGGTCGGTTTAAAAGTTCAAAGTGCTCCACCCACCTGTCCCGCTTCTCTAGAACTTCAGTGAATTGTTTCCCTTCTCTGCTCATGACTGATACGCCTGGTCCGCTATATTTCCCTACTAGTGTTTCGGTTGTATCACTTAGTTCTTTAAGATTTCCTCCTACTACCGTCTTTTCCAATGTCATTGGTAGATCTTCTATATATTTCTTTTTATCAACTCTAATGGTTTTCTTTAATGGCTTGCGTGCTTGTGCATATTCAGTTTGCGTTTTTGCTTTTTCTGCTCTCGTTCGGCTGTCTTCCTGTTTTCCCTTTCTCCAATCTTGCCCAGGTTATCTAAAAAGATCCACATTTCATCCCAGTACTTCTCAGGGTCCAGTACTTGCTGCTTCTTGATTCACTATCCAGTTGTTCTTCATAGTGGTCTCCACTTCTTTTATTAGATATTGGACGGCATATAACTTGTTGCCGGGAACTATCTTGAATTTACTGAGCTTGCTGGCATCTGAAAGGAAGACCGTATTAGCCTTTTGTCGTTGTGGCGGGGGTCACTTTCTTTCTAAAGAGCGGAATAAAATAACATCGCTCATGAAGGTAGTCTTTCCTGTCCAGATTGTGTCCAACCAACTTCACTTACTCAAAGCATAGTCATATTGTATCTTCCCATTTCCGCCGCTATTTGAATGACTCTTCCGATCCCTTACACTGTTCAAACGCTTTATATTAATTGTAACTCTTGTTATCAGAAGGGGCACTGGATTCGTGATTTCTGGAGAATCTCGGCTTTTACCATGAGGCCTCGTAGCTCTTCTACATAAAAACTCGCTGACTCCCACGGTAGAATTCAGATGGTTTAAATGAATTTTATAACTAACTTCTTCAGTAAGTTTTGTTTCTAAAGGCGGGGTTGCTAAGCACACCACAAATCCTTCTCTTTCGCTCAAATAATTTTAGTTCACTCAAAAAATTCAGAAAAATCTTGAGATTTCCAAGCAAATGTGCAAATTTTAAAATAAAAGTATTTTCTTCAAGAATTCATATCAGTTGGTGGAATTGTTGAAAAAAGACATTGAACAGCTCTTTCTTGCCCTAATTCGAGACTATTTAACAACCACGAACTAGCTTCCAGAGCCAATTACTATTGTTTGATCCGTGCCAGGTATGAGACAGCTACATACCAAGCGCAACAGATGAGGGTTGCACATTATAGCGAATTGGTTGAAGCTGTATATCAACACCGTTGGATGTCGGTTTAGTGGTCTAGCGGTTAAGTATTCGTGCGTAATTTCAAGGTCCTGGGTCCGGGTCCCGCTTGCACTGTCGTGGATGTGCACTGCTGAGGAGTCTCACACTTGGACAAAACAATTATCCAGTTGTTTTTAGGTTTCAGTGGCATTCTGACTAAGATCCCCTCGTAATTCAAACTTTAAAAATTCAAAGATTATCTAGATTTCGATCGAATATAATATCTTTAAACCATATAGTACATATATTTAGAAAAAACCTTACCTGTAAAGATAGTTCAAGTGACTTTGAATCTTTATGAAATGGATTAAGAAGACATAACGATGATGTAGATGAAGAAAGACAAAAATTCAAAGTGCAATAAATCCCACCAAAATACAAACAATCACCATCTCTTAATTCATAATTTATTTTAGGTTTCAAATGTAAATCATTACGTTTTGTACCATTTAGTGAACCAAGATCTGTTATAGTACAAATATAATTTTCATCTAATTCAAATATTGCATGTTCTCTTGAAAGTAACTAAATAAATAAAAAAAAGTATAGTAAGTTTTATCATCTGAATGCATATAAGATCCTTAAAAACCAAAACCATAAGTAAAGATAAGATTACAAAAAGTATTCATGAAAATAGTAAAGATACACAGTTAATCAGTAATAAGAACCTGGTATACTAATTTTGACAAGGTGAATATATTATATGCTTATTGCATCAACACATCATCCAATCATTAGTTACGATAGTCACGCGAACCCCAACCAAGTAGTCTGCATCTCCCAACATGGCTCACATCAGAAGTTAGTGACTTCAAGCACTGATGCCACGTTTTGGTTTGGCCACCTCTAACTTTCTTCCAACCGTCTCCAACACTGGTCAGCATTGCACGTCGTGGTAATCGATGTTCAGGCATACGCAACACGTGTTACATTTCAAACATGGAAACTGTATTTGGGCTGCTCAATAATTTAGATATTTAAAGTTCATTGAAATTATCAGAAGCATATGTTATCAAAAAGCAAAAATGTGACCACCATGGTTACAGGAACAGTGATAAACCCTCAACTATTATAATAATGCATCTTAAACGTTGGTTAATGTAGTCCTATATGAACTAACGATTACAATTCAAGTAAAACAAATTAAACACATTTTCTTTATTTTGTTCTCGTACGATTAGGGGTCGGAGACAATCTACAGGAAGAGAGCAAATATATTCACCATTAGGCTTCCCTTGGACTCTAAGTTTCCATATAAGCCTTTTCATCTTTCCTTTTTAAATCATACGTTTTGTACGTTTTGCCACTAATGTGATGTGTACTACGTGTACGGACGGATATAAGTAGTATATGACGGGAACTGAAAGTAGAATTTTTGAGGACAGAAAAGGATAATGGAGAGAAATGGAAACGGAAAGCAATCGAAATAACAACATGAATGAAAGAACGATGGATTTTGTGAGATACACCTCAAGAAAGGCAAATAGTGTATCTAATGTGTTGGTTTCATAATTTAGGAACAAGGTATGGTTTTCTATAATACAGTAAAATGGTTTACACCAACCAGTTCTTCGTTCATTAAACAACGGCTATTACTATTAGTCATCTGTCTGAATGCTACATATCTTGGCGGCCTGCTTGAACATCTGAGCTACCTGTTTTGGCCATCTAGATATTTCAATAAGTTATCTAATTTTGTTTGTTTTAATACATCATTATGGTTATTAATCGCATAACCTATTCAAGTGCGTTTTTGAAAAGTGCACAACCTTTCGTTGTTACAAAAGGCCCAATCAGAGATATCACAGTTGCTGGTAATATGCAGCGAACAGAATGTACATTATTTCGATGTCGATTGACTGGACTGCTAACTTCTAACTGGCGATCATTCAATATTTACCGTCAATATCGATTAAGAAGTAAGAAACGGAAACTTGTTGGAATAGTTTGTGCTGAAAATTCTATAATGTACCAAAAATATAACATTGAATAAAGCTAATAATAAATAAATAAATGATCTAGTTTACAATATCAATAAAAAATACTTTTAAAAACTACTAACTTTTTTAAACTCGGTGTCTGGTCATTTACCTGAACACGGATTACCACGACGCGCAATGTTGACTAGTGTTGGGGATGGTTGGAAGAAAGTTAGGGGTGGCCAAACCAAAATGTGGCATCAGTTTGCTGACTACTTGGTTGTGGACCGCGCGACTATGATAGCCAATGGTTGGAGACTCTTGGTGACATGGCTCAGAATCGATCACAATGGCGTCGGTGTATACACTCTCTGTCTTCCCTTAGACTATGAGATTAAAATCGCCTCATATCTTTCTCTCTACGAACTAATTATTACTTCCTGTAATATACCCTCATATGCAATCTTTCTTTTATATATTACCACTGCTGAATGAACTACTTCTATGTTAATGCGGTATGGCAACTTGGACCGATGCATACATGTTCCTGGTCCTACGTTGTAGCTGACTGACTGGTCATTTGCGTTTGATGCTCTTTTTTATTCAGTTATCGAGTGTGTGTATTGATTGGACAACAATATCTTCGGAGATTATTGCCCAAAGGGGATTATTTATTAACTCCTCAATTCTTTACAAGTATTAATAATATGTACTTTAAAAAGTAGTTCTAAATAGTGAAATAAAGAGAGAAAATCACTCACTGAAGATTTAATGTATATATCACATTTTGGATCTCGCCCAATAGTTACATACTCTAAACAAGGATTCGATTAAATATTTGAAAAAACGGTGAAGACTCACTTTTCACAAGTGGATATTCCATAATTTTCTTTTCAGATGCATAAACACTTAAAACAGGAACCTGTGATTTTTATCAAACATAACCATAATGCATTGTGAATACCTTATCGATTGGTTTACTGATTACATCATTATTTATAAAGTCAGTAGGTTGAGTGGAACAAACTTCATCCATGATATGAATAGATATTTACTTTTCTGTTAAAAAAAAACCTGAACAATGAAAATACCAACAATTCATAAACTGACATGAAGTCATTACATATTTAAAACCGGCTAAAAGTTTTCAAAGTGATAAGATACACATAGACCATCTTTTGAGCTGAGTACCCAAAAACCAAACTTCGCCTGAAGCCCCTCTGGGGCTACTGCCGTTCTGAAGCACAGACAAAGAAGGGTTGGACATAAGGTTAGCGACCCCATCCCGTAGAAAACTAACTCGCTAAAAAAAACGCTAACCCAAGAAACATCTTTTACCGAGAACTAGTTAAATAGAAAGAGATTTATTTAGTTGACCTAGGATCTAGAAGCATTTCATACATTGAAATATTACCAAACATATTGACACTAAAAGCAAGGAAATCTGGTTAACTGTTAAAATACAATGAATACGGATGAGCAAAGAATCCATCAAGACCAAGTTAAGCGGTTCCGATGTAAATAATACTCCCTTTAAGAGTTTAACGTTTTATCCTATAGCCTCATCTGTAATATTAAGTATTTTATAGTGCCTTATTTGTACTGAGATTGAGCTCTAAATTGACAAAAAATAGATGGTGAGTATATCCAGCACTAAATTTGAATACTTGTTTCTAAGTATGAGGCATGTTATCTCAGAAGTTCGACATCCTGAGATCGACCATCAGGATTCTATTAACAATAAAACTAAAGTCTAAAAATTAAAAACAGTAGATGTTAGTGATTCATTTCCAAATAATATATAAGCGTTGGCACCCAACTAATAATCGAAGTAACCAAACAAATTAGTCTCGACTACTTATTTATTCATTTTAGATGAGGACTTTTAGTCTGACATTGAAGTTTTAAGTCCCAAAACTCGTCACTCCTAAACCCAAAGTGAAGCTCATATATTGATAAATTAAGAGCAAAAACACCGGTAGATAGATGAAATATTATTTCTGAATTGACTTTCTGTTATATAATACATATTTTGGAATAAATGTAGAGTATCTGAACCATATGACTGGTTAAGTAAAGTTGACAATATACAGTCATGTAATTAATTACATTTATGAATTTAAATAAAGCCAGAACAAAAAATTACTTTACTTACTTACGCCTGTTACTCCTAATGGAACATAGGCCGCCGGCCAGCATTCTCCAACCCACTCTATCCTGGGCCTCAGAACAAACATGGATGGAGAATAATATGGATTCATTATATTTCGCGGTTTCTTATTAGCTGCTTACAACATATATATATAGTTATTATTAATAACCTTTGTAATTCCAATTCTTTTCATTCACTTATGTCAATTGTTTCATATTATATCTTACCTTAATGTAAAATTTTAACACATTTGATCATGAGCAGCTGATGAGAAACCATGAAATATAATCAATTCATATTATTCTACATTTATGTTTGTTCTGGTTTTATTTCAATATACAGTCAGCTGAAAACATTCAGCAAAGTTACACATTTATATTACTCCAAAATATCCTACATAATTTGCTTCTTTTTTCATTCACATATTTATTCGCTGAATAGTATTGTCAGAAAGTTCAATACCGAAATACAGGTACAGAAAATAAGTCAAAAGTTAAATATGCACGGATTCATATGCTAGGTTATGACTCCGACATCTTGATAATGGTTGTTGATGCAAGATAGCTACCTGAACTGCAATAATTTCGGATGAATTCGCACATATGGGCCGCCAATCGAAATATGAGTGCCAAAACCAGTGAGTAACAAAACACGTATGTGTGAAAAGTCACTAAAACTGAGCTAGAGATTTTTCACCTCATTACAATGCTTATGTTTCAGTTATACACACTGCCAAAATTATTCGATTGTAATTCCTCATATATTATAAGAACCTCATTTGGTTATGTGTGGCATGACCCAACTAAACAGGCGTTTGGAAAGTCATTGTTGTGTACTGTCATCGTAAAAAGGCAAAGTAGTGCAAGGGGCAAGAGTATTTGGAAAAAGCAACTTGGCCTTGATATCATAAATCTTTTTTAAAAGACCCAAGACAACTATTTTTAAATACAATATGGTTTTGTAAAGAGACGGTTAGTGTCTAGTAGTGCAATCCAAAATGCACATTTTGTTTTATTTGAAGTTCGTCAGCTAAATGTACATTCATCCGAGATAATATTAACTCCAAAACTCGTACCCAGTACCTTTTGCTTCAAACGCCGTCGCATTATCCACTTAAAACTGAGTCCAGATAGTCAACGACTGAATTTACATTCCTACATAATGGTTATTTAGATCTTTTAGTAGCTATTTGAACTCAGTAACTGAGTGAACAACGCTATGACATTTGAAGAGAAAGGTACTGAGTTCCAGTCCTGGAATGAACATCAGCTGTGAGATGCGGATAGCTTCTGCTGACGAGTCACAGACAGGATGAAACAAGTGTCCTGAATTTAAACGCTAGCCGCCATCAATCACTGCTTATCATGCACAATCAACTCCGCCTGTAGCTCTTCTAGGGTTGCTGTCGACACCAAGACCGAGTAAAGAGGAGGGTTGGGTATGGGGTCAGCAACCCCATTCCGTAGAAAGAAACCTCGTCGAAAAACCCCAACCAGAATAAACAAATTAAAACACTTAAACTCTGTCCTCCGAGTTCAAGGAAGAATTATGACGCCTCATCGTGAAAGCCAAGATTCTTCGGAAGTCACGAGGCTGATCCCCATTCTAACAACCTGGACATCAATTAATATAGGTACATGGAATGCACGGACAATGTGGAAGACTGGGAGGACCAACCATACAGCCACAGAAATGAGTAGATACAACCTGACAATGCTCGGAATAAGTGAAACACATTGAACCCAAGGTGGACAACAAAGGATAGATTCGGGAGACATGCTTCGCACACTCACGGAATTGCTCTCATGCTGTCCAAACAAGCATGAAATGCACTGATTAGGTGGGAGTCTCGTGGATCTAGGAATATCAAAGTATCATTAAAAACAAAGAAGGGAATCACAATGAGTGTTATCTAATGTTATGCACCCACCATTGATAGCAACGACGACGATAAAGATCACTTTTACGAGGGTCTACAATCTATTAGGGAGAAGTGTCCAAGAAAGGATCTGACCACTCTGATTGGAGACCTAAACACCAAAGTCGGAATGGACAACACCGGGTATGAAGATATCATGGACTGACATAGAAGAGACCGAAAATAGCGAGAGATCTACAAATTCATGTGCCTTCAACAAAATGTTTATAGATGACACAATATTCCCACACAAACACATACACAAAGCTATAAGGGTCTAACCGGATAGCACTACACAGAACAACAATGATCATGTTTGCATCACTAAAATAACCCAAAAGGATAATTGAAGACGAGAGAACCAGAGGAGGAGCTAAAATGGCTTTAGATCACTACCTGGTTGTGATTGCCAAGATGAAACTGAAGCTAGAGAAACACTGCAAATTAGGAAAAACAGCATTACAGAGGTCTGATACAGCCATTCTTCAACATACAGTCTCAACGAATTCAAGATAACTCTCAACACTAAGTTCCAAGCATTATAAGATCTACTGAAAGAAGAAACTACTATGAAGGACTATTGGAAAGGGATCAAACAAGCACCAACTTCAGCGTGTCAGGAGGTGCTGGGCATAAGTAATGGGCCTCTATGGAAATATTGGACAAGATTCAAGAAAGGAAGAACAAGAAGACAGTAATTAACAACAGCCGTGCAATAGCAGGAAAAACCAAGGCACAGGCCCGATACATATAAACAAACAAGATGATGAAGAGAAGCATTAGAGCAAAGAAGCAGAAATATGTGGAAGGCCTGGCAACGGTAGCAGATGAAGCTGCAAGAGAAGGAAATATGAATCGACTACATGACACAGCGACGCAACCTGCAGGGAAATATAGTAAACCAGAAAGACCAGTCAAGGACAAAGAAGGCAAACCAATCACTGAATTTCAAGAACAGAGGAACAGATGGGAAGAACACCTTCGAGGTACTCTTGAATAGACCAGCTACATTGAATCCACCGGATATCGAAGCAGAACATACACACATCTTCCAATAGATGTCACTCCAACAAGTATAGAAGGAATCGGGATAACCATCAGGCAAATCAAGAGTGAGAAAGCAGTAGAACTTGACTATATATCAGCTGAAGCTCTGTATTCAGACTTGGAAGCAACTTCAAACATGCTCCATATTCTATCCAGGAAGAAATGAAAGGAGGAACAAGTGCCGATGGCCTGGAAAGAAGGACACCTCATTAAGATTCCAAAGAAAGGAGATCTGAGCAAATGTGAGAACTACGGAGGCATCACACCACTGTCAGTACAAAGAAAGCATTTTAAAAGAGTGTTGCTGAACCGGATGAAAGACTCATTAGATGCCTAGTTTCGAGATCAAAAGGTCGAATTCTGTAAGGATCGTTAGTACACAGACCAAATCACGAAAATACGGATCATCGTTGAACAATCAGTTGAATGGAACTCTGAAAAGAGCAAGAACAAAGATTCTAGCAGAATAACATGAATTCATTTTATTTCGTAGGTTCTCGTCAGCTGCTTACAACCTGTGATATTTAAAAATCACAATTACATAATGGGTCTAAATTGCTAACTAAATATTGTAAATATATACCTAATGTGAAAGAATATTCTACAACATTAATTGTGACAACAGTTCAAAAGTGGGTTAGAAACAATCGATTACATAATGAATAACATTGAAGGAATGTAGTGAGTAGAGTTCAGTTGAAAGATTATTAATTTGATAGTTGGAAAAATTAAATAGTCAATGATGCAATAAATGCAAAAGAAAAAAGAAAAAATTTTATGGTGCAGTGAAGGAATATTTGTCACCAGGGCAAGGAAAGATTAACCACCGTCTCCTTTTGAATACATAGGTTAGGTTTTTGACGCCTGATGGCAATGGCTTCAGCAAACTTCAGAAGACTGTAGTTTGGCTGCTTACTAATCACCCTAAAGGATTGTAAGGTATCTACCTGATGTCCTGTATCAAGGAGATGTTTGGTGATTGCACTGTTCAGAGTCTTTCTTTCTCTTGTTCTAAGACTTTTTGGAACATGTTCAAAGAATCTAAGATATGCTCTCCTTTCAGTTCGGCCGATGTAGCTCGTCACCATACATTAACTCCCTGGACTATGAAAAAACATTTGACAATGTGGATAGGAGAACATAATAGAAACTTCTTTCACATTATGGTATACCTGAAAACATAATCAACATCATACGGAATTCATACGACAGCCTACAGTGCAAAGTCTTGCGTGGAGGACAGCTGACAGACGCATTATAAGTGAAGATCGGTATCAGACAAGGTTGCCTACTCCCCCCTTTTCTCTTTTTCTGGTGAATGACTTGGTTATGAAGACCTCCACAACTCAGGGAAGTACGGACTAAAATAGACAGGTTGTGTGCAACTACATGGTTTGGACTTCGCAGATGACCTAACACTTCTATCCCATACACACCAACAAATTCGGGTCAAAACAAATAGTGTAGCAGTAGTAGACTTCAACATGCACATAGGAAAAAGCAAGATCATCAAATAGAACGCATTGAGCACCAACCCAATCACACTTGATGGAGAAACCCTGAAAGGGGTGGAAATGTTTACGTACGTGCCTGGACAGAATCATCGATGAACAAAGGCGATCCGATGCAGATGTAAAGGCGAGGACTGACAAAGCAAGAGCCGCATTCCTACAGTTGAATAATATATGGCGTTGGAAACAAATGTCAACCAACATTAAATTGCCTCCAATACAAACGTCGAGATAGCTTTTGCTGATGAGGCGCAAAAGGCGTAATGGTGATGATCATCATGCATAATTGAAGCAATCTACACAGGATGAACACATGCTAAAAGACTAAACAATCGCAGTCCTAAACAGCAGTGGGAACATACAAACAACCAATATATATATATATATATATATATATAAAACTCCAATATATTGTGTTTGATCTCCTAGGAGACAAGTTATACGAGTACCGAAGTTCAAGACCACACAAAAAATCATCCAGAAATTATGATCGAAGCTAACACGTACGTGAGTGAATGACAATTACATAAAGGCAAGCCGGATAACATTGGTGTTTCTGCACAAAAACACCCTTATCTTGGATGGGGACTCTCATGCATCAGACTTTTATTATTAATATCTGAGTAAACAGACTAGATGTTTGACTAGATATGGGAATTTAGTACTATGAGAAGCTATAGGATAAATGAAGTGTCAGACACTTGACTAAAAACATGAACAAGTTCAGTCATTGACTGCCGCTATGAGTCGGACAACGACGAATTCCGCAAGCATACCTACACCGGAGTACTGTAATGTTAAATGTATTTAGTGCACTTTGTCGCCAGTTGCCTTAAATAACGAGGAATGTATTTCGAATACACGATCATTTAAATTGGTTATGTATTCCCACAAGTTAACCAGGCGTCTCTTGTCGTAACATAAATTTGGGTTGCGTAGAAGTTAAACAAAAAACACGACAAAATATATCTAAATTATCTTATTTTGTAATGGTACTTCGCATCACGTTTGACAGACACGCGTAGCCTGTCAAAATAAAACACAAACTCACTGACATGAGGGAAACTGCGTTTTAAAATCCACAGGTCCTTAAACGTTAAAAACAACAAAACTATTCACTGGAGGTTTAAAAAATATTACGAGTAATCAAGTTTCACTCAGCTTAAATGAAAAGCTTTTCCCGGTCCGAGCCCAAGTTTATTTATATGGTAGTTAGCTGACAGCATTTCCCAAAAAATAAAAGAGTCGATCCGTGATTTCCAGCGACAAACACCTACACATGTAGATATATATGCTCGGTAAGTGGATGGCATAAGCTTGCTACAGAATACGAACCAGAGAGCCGTACTAAGCCGTAACCTCAATCACATAAAGAACATATTCAAAAGATGTATCGATTAAAAGATTATACCTAGTTTCAGAAACCACAAACTTATTGACTGAAAAACGAAAAATAAAGAACACACAAGGTCATAAGGGAAACTCTAAATTCGCGCTTTGAGCGTAGTCATAATATATAGCGCACTATTGAACAAAAAGTTTCCATATGTAGAATATCTGGATTAGATGCAATGTATTATGGTCTTCTCAGCTCAGTTGATGAACGAGTATTATAATAAAACAGAATCTGATGTTCCTGATACTGCATGTTTTCGGTATGCTTGGTATCAGATAGACAGATTAGTCCTTAATTAAGCCATACAATGCACTCAGTAGTAAGCTCTTTAAAACTGTGACAGAACGTGCTTCAAGACGGCACGTACTCGTGGTATGATCAATTACTGACTTCTGTTTCTCTAAAATGATAAACCAAACTTTTATGCCAATGAGTGTGAGCACAAACAGAATAGTGTTCCATTCAGAGAACTGGTTTTAAATTTCAATGTATATTTAACTCCATGACGCCCTCCTAATACCTTTACTAGTACTTTTTAGACTCACGAAATGTCGACTGTAAATTCGAAAGTTTTGTGACACTAAAAGTGACTTTGGAACTCATTTGTCGGGAGATGAATACTTTGGACTCGATTACTGTAATAGTCGAAACGTAATTCTATCTCTGTTGGGGTATCGACTTTCAAGCGGCGAATAATATACAATGTATTTAACAACCGCATATCCTTAAATAACGACAGACGAACGAATAATAACACGTTCCAGTTACTGACACCATAAACGTTGCTAAGAAAAAATTCTATTTGCAATTTTTTTAATAAGAATATTTGACGGCTATCACCACAAAGTTTAAGCTTCGATCTTAAACCGTAAACATCGGACACGGAACTAAATAACATCATAGCAATATATGTGGAGATACTATTGTCAGTTGATATAACGTCAGCACGATTAAGCAAGTATAATCGCGCCTATATTTCAACCTCACTGACATGGTAAATCCATTTAAAAACAATAAATAACACAACGGTTCAGCTTTGTCAATGGCTTCTTATTCAGTCTCTATAGTTATGGGTCGAAAACCAATACATTGATTAGGCAAACTTTTGAATTGTCCAAAAGATATTTCCAGTTGAATCAATGTGACAAATCTAAAACAACAAGATCCGTATAAATTAAGCCCCATATAATGCGAAATACTGGTAAAACGAGCTATTTCTAAAGGCAAGATTACCATACACGAAGGGATAAAAAAACTAGATACCAGGTTTGGAGTGATCAACCATGATTCATAGAATTATATCGCAAATTAACACATAATTCCATCAAAAGAATTAGGATTCTTCCGTTATGCCCTTCATGGGGTAATCTTCGTCTAGAATTTAAGTTAAATGGTTTCTCGATAGGGCTAACAGTAGTGTTTTTACTAATTGATTATTTTTTGCACATTGCGCCTTCCGCAATCCGAATTGTAAAAACAATACTTACGATCATGTACACATCGTCTACTGAAGAAGAACGTTGCTGTGAATCCAGAGTATTTATTCTATATATCCATTCCAAATGTATTGTACATTTAGCCAGCAATTATGGTTTTCGACCATTTCAGAGTCGACCAGCCTCGTTTGCGAGTGCTTTATATAAACTTTTGTTCATTAGTAAAGCTCTTCAATATCATCGTCATATACCCAACATTTTGTGTCCTGCTAACCGATCGTTTTAAATCTTAATATCCAACTCTTAGATGGCAAACCCAACCGTTATAACATTAGACAAAGTAAAACCGAGCGTTATAGCAGTATAACTTGTGGGTAATTGTTTGTTACAGTGGCTAAATGTCAGACCAGTATATGTGTTTCTTTTGAACTTACTGCTGTCCAAAAAGATTACTCGCAGATTTATCGAGAATCACCTGCTGTGTTTTGGGTCGTTAGACGACTTCATAAATATTTATTTTTAAGGTGATAATAATGGTGCTGATTCAAAAGCTTTAAAAATCATTTCTCATCGTGAAGAATCGCTAGTACGTCGTATAAATGATAGGGTTCAACAATGGGGTTGCTACGGGAGAACTTTAGACACTTGGCTGATTAAAACCTTCTTATTGTACATCAATAATTTTACTGTGTTTTTGGATGTATTTGTTTTACATAACCTTTGAACTGCTTTGTTTATATCATTCTTTTCGGACATTTAGGTTTCTGTTTGTCATTGTTTGGTATTTGGGAGTTTTTGATCCGGGGACCTACAAAATTGAAGGTTTGTTTTCTAATTGTTATAATTATTGTTGTTATAACGACATTTGGGTCGACTAATTGTGGATCGCGAATAAACTTTGGTATTTAATTGGACTTTGGTTCTATTGATAATTTGGGTTCGTGAATTGCAAATAGATCGACATACCGTACTTCAGTAAAGCGAACGAGCAAAGACTTGGACGTGACAGGGGTGTTACTCTGAGTGATCGAAACAGCTATTGATAAAGAAATGTCAAATAATTTCAACATCCCAGCTGAATATCTCAAGACTGTCGATATTGTAGACTGATGAAGGGTACAACACCCAATGGTAAGCTGTACACTTCTAACCAGAGGAAATTGGCCTTGTTCCCTATTAATATATAACGTAATGATACCGCCAATTAGAGAACAGTGTCTTATCGACCGGGCCAATGACGCATAAACCCGTATGAGCAGTCTAGAATCATAACCGACCCTTCTCTCTACCTACACTTGCCTGTTGAGTCCAGAACACCAATCCCAGCCTCCGAGTTATCAGTCGTGCATTTCAGACATGCTGGGTTCATACACAAACCAAACAGATCACATCACACCGAAAAATAAAAATTAACATTTTACAAGTCCTAGCCATAAGTGGCTGTGAATGTGTGAGACTTTTGGACGCCAGTTCACCATATTAACTGACCATAAAATTTGCTAGCCATTTTTGGGCTGAAGAAAGGTATCTCGGTATACACAGCAAGCAGACCGCAACGAAGGGGAACTACACTCCTGTGTTATGACTTCAAGATCAAGTACTAGCCCAATACTGATTTTGGACAAGCTGACGCTCTGTCTGGACTGATTAGTTCACAAGTGGAACAGGAAGAATATCTTTACATGGGAGCCAACCCCATCGTATAAATGGACAGTCCCCTACTGAGGCGATGTTCGGGAGAAGCATCCGAACAATATTCGACGCCGTGTTGCTACCAATGCATGAACTCAGACAAAATCAGAATTTCCGGAGTTTTAACGTCGATGATAAAGTGGCCGTCAAGCCATACATTGGGAAAAACCATCGGGAACCGAGAGTCATTGAAAAGAGAATGGGAAATGTTTTATACGACGTACGCGGGATCTTCGGAACGTAGATTAAACACACTAATCGAATACATAGAGGAAAAGAATGCTAAACACGGTAGATAGTTGAGTGTGTCTTCCGCCACAGATAAATAAGGATTCGCTAGTGGCAGGAACCCCAAAAGACACTCACAGACGTTGGTTACTAATGACGTCCAAACGCCCCAGAAAACCAGTTATCAAGCTGCAAGTATATCCAAAGAAAAAGGAAAGGTGTTGTCGAGATCCAGAAAACTCGAAAAATCACAACAAAGGTTCTAGTAAAATTAAGAAGCATCTTATCTAATCAGCATTCACTAGAGGTTTTGCCAGAAACATATGGAAAGTGAAAAGTCACAAGTAGAATTTCTGACTGGATGATTATCCATAGTGCTACTACGTTTAGTAGCGTTATATAATTTTCTGGAAACCCAAGGTCATCCAAAATACCATAGATACCCTAGATCGTCTGTACATTGACGAACGTCTGGAGTAAAGCGTTCATCCCATATTTCGCGCCTTTTTTCTCGTGTTCACGTTGCTGTGTAGACCTAACCTGGGGATTACCAGAAGATCCAAGGAACCGAATGTAGCGTTCATTTAGAAAACTTATCAATCACCACAAAATTGGAAGCTGGCCTACATAACACCAATCTTCAAGAGAGGTGGACACAGTGAATCTTCAAACTCCCGGCTCGAAGCCCTTCTCTCCATACATCCGAAAATTATAGAGTTCCTAATGTACGATGGTCTATGTGGCTACATGTTATCCGTAAACTTCCCACCCCGAAAGCATGGTTTCAGGAAGAGTTGTAGCGGCATTGGACCATAACCACACAATCCTCAAAGCTGAACACGAGACTATTCGGAAAATAAATATCCAGTATTTGACGCGGAGAATTACCTAACGATGGAGAAGGCGGGAACAAGGATCCGAGTTGATCGGATGGCATGGCTCAGCCTTGCAGGCGTGGTCCCTGCTGAGTGTTACCTTATATTTTTTATTCATATTAAATATATCGTTCTATCTCTAGCCTAAGTTTGTTCTCTATCATGTAATGAGTTGGTGTAGACGATGATGTCCCTTCCACGTAAGATCTTATAGATCAGGCAATTATATCATGACAAATCTACAATCATAAAATTAGGTCTGTTATTAGAGCAGTACTAATATCATCGTAGACCATAATTCTTCAGAGTCACTCTTGTATAACCAACATGCTGACTGCAGTGGACAGATGGTTAATCATCTTTGATCGTAAAAAGAAGGTTGAGGTCGCGTAACTTGACTCCTCTAAAGCTTTTGATAGGGTCGATCACATGTATCCTACCAATAAGCTGAAACAGATAGGTACCAATTCACCAACAGTTTATTGACTTACGTCATATCTAAATAACCAACATTTTAAAGTCAGGGTAAAATTCGTTTTTCTCATACTAAAGGATGTCCTCGTGGGATTTGCGAGGTTTCAGTCCTAGAACTCCTTATTTTCTTGACTTATATAAACGACTTTCCTCAGCATGGGTTGTCTGATTTGTTACTTTTTGCTGACGACGTGGAACTCCGGGGACAAGTTCGCCACCAAAATGACTAGCTTGCATTTTGAAATGATCTGACTGGACTTGAACTTTCGGCGGACAACAACAGACGTACCTATAACGCTGCGGGACTATAACTTATGGGCACGTCGATTAAAAGTTTTTGAGCGATCTCACATTGCTTGTCTCAGTACCGAATGCCCAACTA